GGATAAAAACAATTTGAATTTCATTTGTAGAAATTATGCAAGATGGGGGCGCCTGGGTGGCTCAGTCCATTGAGCGTCCGACTTCGGGCCATGGCACATTGCTACCATCTTCAGTAGGCTCTCCTGTGCACCTCCTGACCATTCTCTCCTCTCCTGATGTCCTTCTCTCGCTTGCCTCTAATCCTTCCTTCCTTCCATCAATGTTTTACAATTTCTCCCTTCTTCAAACAGCCTCTTTCATCACTGATTCTCCTCCCCTGTTCAATAGTTTCATCCATAGCTCTCATCCATCTACCTTTCTTTGTTCCCAAGTGTGTTCAACTTCATTTTTAAAAATATTTGGCCCTGAGAGAGAGACAGAGATAGAGACAGAGAGACAGAAAAGTGTGTGTGAGTGAGTGGGGTAGGGGTAGAGACAGAAAGAGGGACAGAGGGATAAAAGGGACGTCCAAAGTAGGCCTGCACCGACAGCAGAGAGCCTGATGTGGGGCTGGAACTCATGAGTTGATAGATGAGATCAAGCCGTGTCGAGGTTGATGACTGGGAGCCACCCAAGTGCTCCTTACTCATTTTAAGGCTAGGGACTCCTGCCAACACAGAGCCAGGGATCTCCTTCCCAAAAAAAAAGGTGCTTGGGTGGCTCAGTCGTTAGAAGTGTCAATTTCTGCTCAGGGTCATGATCTTGCCTGCAGTTCAGCCCGCTGCCGCTGCTCTGCAAAGGACAGTCCTGGAGAGCCTGTTTCAGATTCTGTGTCTCCTCTCTCTCTGACCTCCTGTTCATGCTCTCTGTCTCAAAAATAAATGCTAAAAAAATTTAAAAAAAGGGAAAGAAAGAGAGGAAGGTAGAATATTTGCTTGAAGTTTTTTCTCAACCCCACATACAGGTGGTAGACCCACTTGTTTTAAGAATCCTGATAATGTTCACTGAGCCTCTGCTTCTTGAATCCAGCAACTGAACCTCATGTGTGGATTTCTGAAGACTGAAGCCAGACTTAAAACAGTCTCTAGGGCACTTGGGTGGGCTCAATTCAGGGCAGGAGCTGCCTGACCTCAATCTCAACTTGATACCGATTTCCATTCGTTCCTGCAGCCTCCCAGCCCCTGTCGTGAGCTCTACACTGTCGGTGTGGAACCTGCTTGGGAGTCTGTCTCTGCCCTTCCCCCTGCACTGTCTGTCTGTCTGTCTGTCTCTCTCTCTCTCAAAATAAATAAATAAATTTCAAAAAAAAAAGGTTCTATTAGAACTTGTGCCCACTGGTCTTAGGCTGGCCTTCTGTACTCAGAGTAGATCTGCTTTCTCTTGCACATATGTTTGAAGACATCTGTCACATACCCCGCACCAAGTCTTCTCTTTCAAAGGCTTCCTCTGTTGTTCCTCATGGTGTTATTTAAAGCTCCTTCCGACTCTGGTCTCTTGCCTCTGTGTGAACTCCAGTTTCTGGGAGTTGAGGCTAGACCATTGACCTCTTGGAGCCTGACTTCAGGAACGTGGGCTTGGACTGAAAGGTGCAGTCCACTTGAGGGGGTTTCCTGGGGCCAGACCTGTGGGTCAGGACAGTGACCTTCACGCCAGCTCAGGTGAAGGGGTATTTAAGTTGCGATGCATTATTATGAAGTATACCCATAAGCTACTTGTGAACTTGCTCATTTATTTTATTTGTTTGTGGTCATCACTAGATAGGCTATTGAGCATACCAAAAGTATAAAGAAATGTATGGGAGGAAAAACTGAAAATTCAGAAAAGTCTAACAACTTAAACTTTTTTTTTTTTTAATCTGTGGAAATCTTTGCAGGAAGGATGATTACTGTGAACACAGCAGAAAATCTAGGTCAACTCAGGGTCAAAGTAAACTGGACTAATTATTTCATCCATCTTTTTGCCTCCAGCGCTTACTTCTAAGCCAGTCCAAACTTAAAAAAATTTTTTTTTAGCATTTATTCATTTTTTGAGGGACAGAGAGAGAGCATAAGCGGGGGAAGGGCAGAGAGAGGGGGAGACACAGAATCGGAAACAGGCTCCAGGCTCTGAGCTGTCAGCACAGAGCCTGATGCGGGGCTTGAACTCATGAAACGCGAGATCACGACCGGAGCCAAAGTCGGACGCTTAACTGACTGAGCCACCCAGGCGCCCCAGCCAGTCCAAACCCTTCACCATACTTCAGGTTGAAAGTCCTGGGAGCTGGGATGCCTTTAAGCATCTGACTTCAGCTCAGGTCATGATCTTGCAGTTTGTGAGTTTCAGCCCCACATCGGGCTCTCTGCTGTCAGCACCGAGACCACTTTGGATCCTATGTCCCCCTCTCTCTCTGCCCCTTCCCTGCTTGTACTCTCTCTCTCTTAAAAGTAAA